ACCCCCCCCCCCCACCCCCCACATAAACACATGTTTAAGATTATTCCTCTGCATATTTCCACATTTTTGTATGAAGAGAGGTATTCACCTTCCCTACACCAAAGTCACAACATCCTGTGACCACTAATTCAATGCTAACTTGTTTTGTCCAGCCACACAATGCCTCGGGAATAATGACACTGTATGCTATGCTTGCTGAAAGGAACTATATAATAAATCAGAAAATAGATTTTGGCTAGAATGAGCTTTCAAATTCGTCCTTAACTGAACTGAGCTGAATGGTGCTGACTCACTGCAGGCCTGAAAAGCACATCAGAATAAGGACAAATCAAAGTTCACTCATGTGTGGTACACTTCAAAGTTTTCTCATCCTTACTTTATAGTTCTTTAAATAAGTGGAGTAAAAGTAACTTAATTTCACTGCAAATATCTAATGTTGGTCTTTGGTGTTTTTTTGGTTCCTTATTGATGTAAAAGTTAGGTCAGTTACATAATTTTATTTTTATTAGTAGACTTCTCTTAGGGAGTCATTTTGTGGGTTGTTTAGGGATACCTTTTTAAATAATTATCAATTTCAGATTCAAATTTTATTGGTCTCACACACACAACCATACACAGTATGACGTGCAGCCAAATGCGTTTTCTGACTGTCTGTGACATAAAATAGAATTTACATAAACCAGAATTTACTTGTATACTGTACAGGTAGAAAAAGGAAAAATATAAAAATATAACATAAGGAATATAAAAGATAGGTGGCAGCAACAGTATGACTATGTTAGGAATGAAGTACAGATATGTGCAGTTGTTTGTACAGTATAATGCTGTGCAACATCAGGCTGAGGTAGTTGTAGTGAAATTGCCAACATGTATAATAAATATTTATAAATACAGGATAATATGTGTATATTAACAGGTATGTAGGTGGTGTGGGTGTTGTGCAAACAAGTCCAAGCTCTATTTTTTTTAAAAAATCTGGTAAACTTAATAATCTTAAAGAAATAGGTTAAGGTAAGGGAAACTGCAAAAAATAAACAAAAAATACAAAGTGTGGGCGGAGCAGTTGTGACGGCAGCCGACTTCACCGGCGCCATCTTGGATTAACGATTATTTACATGAAAGTGGCTGAAGGCAGGGAGGTTGAGAGCCGCATCTACACTTTTATATGCAGCTTATGTAGACAGGCTATATGAAGTATTTTAAAGCGGAATATGAATTGATACCTCACATCTTAACAAGTATCTCTTAGTTATCCAGATAATGGAGTCTGATTTAAAAAAAGAGTCAAAATGGCAGAGGAAATCCCTTTCAAACACAGACTGGAAAAGGAAGATGTTTCTTTTGCAGTGAAATAAGTCTAGTATCACACTGAAAATGAATAATTTAAGAAAGCAAATTCTGGGGTCAGACAAGAGCTTGAGTAGAACAGTACCAAAAAGCAAACGTAGTCAAAGAATTCCTTGAAATGGGAAATGTCTTAAGATTAGGCAAACAGATGCTCCTAAAACGTTACAGCATCTGGACTTTGTGTGCCAGTAGAGATCAGTTGGGATGAACACAACAGAGACAGGAGACTTGCACAAGTGGTCCAGTGGTGCAATGGATACCGTGTCTGATTACGAATCAGAAGAATCTAGGTTGGACTCCTGGCTGGCTCGTAATTGTTTGATAGAGCAGTGGTGACTGAGTGGTTAAGACTGTGGGTTACCCATGAAAAGATCATTAGTTTAAGTTTATGAGTCTGGTTTCTTTCAAGTTTTCTTGCTCATGTCATCTCAGGGAGTTTTTCCTTGCCACTTGCTCATTATGGATCTAAATCTTAATCAAAATCTGAATTTCTGTTAACTTGCTTTGTTACAATGTCCATTGTTAAAAGTTCTTTACAAAAACACAATCATCACGTGTCATTAGAATGATAATTGCAATTTTGTGTTGTGATCAGAACAAAATTAAATGTTTTGGGCCTGCATCTGCAATATTTGGCAAAAAATAGGGACTACATACAAGGAAAAGCCACCAGAACCAGTCAAAAATATGGAGATGTATCACTGATGATTTGGTGTTGTTTGGTCCAGGGGCTTTCTGTGAAGACTGACAGCATCATGAATTCTGCAAAGCACCAGCATATTTTAGTTCTGGCAGCCTCTGTTAGGAGGCTATGGCTTGACCATAGATGGATCTAATGACCCTAAACATACATCATTTTAATGAAAGGTACCATTCTGGAATCGACTGTATATATTTTCTTCCTTTCAAATGGTTCTTAAAAGTAAACAAAGTTTCAAACCACAAGTAGCAAAATTGTCTTTCACTAAACTGATGCAAGAGAAAGAGAGAAAATTCCTCGTACACAGTGATTCTTGACTGACATGATGGTGTTGATTGTGTTCAAATAATATTAGATAATTTTCTACAGGTTGGTATCAATACATGCAGCGGCACAAAAAAAAAACAACAAAAAAAACTGTTGTCCAATATGTAATACCCAATGCCAATATAAAATGAATAGAATCAATAGCAAAGGTAAACAATGTGAGAACAGAATGTCATAGTCAACCCCAGCCACCTCCCTACTGTGTTCCCTTGATGTTATGCTTGTCTTCTGTATTTACTCTAATATGATTTATTTTCCTCCTGGAACAATTTTGAATTTGAAAAATTGTCCTTAGTACATAACTTTTTTTCCAGCCCAGATCGATGTTGCTATTGACTTTTCTCTCCATTTTACAAAGCACTACTTCCTAAAATTTGCACCTTTTCTTTTCTGGCTAGGTGCTACTAGAGCTTTCACCCTATCTGAACCCAATAATAAGCACCCAGGTCAAGTCCCTAGGACATCAATCCATTTCATCTGACAACTCCACATAGCTCTCTCAGGACTGTGCCATTCGATGCTACCCTCTGAATAATGAATGGGTCTCAGCTGTTTTAAACTCATGCTCAAATGCTTCTGACAGATATTGACCTGAAATGATACTGAGAGAGAATCCCTAATGCAGCGGGATTGGCGGGAACAGAATTTTCTGTCACAAGGAAGTCATCACTTTGTGTACAATGCTTCCGGACGGCAAAAACAAAAAGGGCTTTGCCAACAATGGCATGATACTCTACATACAATACACATCACCATGTATATTTATGTTTTTATTAACCCTGTAGTTCACTTAATCGTTTGGAATAGTTATCAACTGGGCTTTTAACTGAATACAGATATATTATTCGAAAAGAAGAGAATGTGTACTAAACTGTTACAAATACAGAAAGAAATAGGAATCACATTATTTAGGGTTTTTTTTGTGTTATTAGTTTGTTTTTTTTATTTTAGAAAGCTTACCTGAAAGGGTCACAAGGCATCTGATTGAGACTAAATGTGTGCATCGGGACTGGGATTCCACGGTACACAATGAAAAAGTAACACAAGCGGGAGATTTTTACTTTCATGCAGGCGAGCAGTCAGATATGAAGCTTGTGAGAAAAAGACCAGATTCATTAACGTGAACTTGAGTCACTGCATGATCCATTTACAGCATTCATTCATTCATGCTTAATAACTGCCCGGTCAGGGTCACGGCACTTTAAAGTAATCTACAAGTTTGTTTACATTTCGGGAAACAGAACCAACTAAATTCATTAGTTCATTGCGTGAGTGGTTTATTTCCCCAGTGCAACCCAACCCTTCCAGGTTAGGCCACACCCACTTTGGGTTTAAATCTAAATACTGATATAAATATTTGGAGGACTAAACAGATACAGAGAACAATATTATATTATATACCCCAATCATCAACAGAGCTTGCTTTGCATTGAGGATTGTGGTACTTAGTATTAAATAGTAACACTGCATCAAAAGTACCACAGTTGTGTTTGATTCCCAAAATTTGAAGCCAGGGCATATTTTTTTTATTTGATAAAGTACCACAGGCACTTCACATTCAGACAGTGATTCATGCAATTAAAGACTTGCTGAGCTGTTGAATGTTTTCCTTCGAGCCCTGATAATTTCAATTTTCTACAGTTTAAATCATAAGTGATTCCAAGCACCACTTGGTGCTAAAGAATAATACAGATAGATAGATAGAGAGTGGGAGGGGAAGGGGAGAGAGAAAGTGGGGGGGGAGCGCCTAATGTAATGACACACACCAATCATAACCAATCATCATGGTGGTTCTGGATGAACGGGCACAAAGATGGATTATAGGCAAGAGACAACCAGAGAAAAACAAGACCCTCAACCTTCACAGGAGGCTAAAACAATTTCTTATTAGTGTTCATTATGAAAGTGGGAGGAGGACAAATTAAGTTGATTTGCTAGCTGAAGGAACAGCGTTTTTATTGAATCTGTGCGATGCGGGATAATAGTGTGTCATTTTATACAAGCATATTTGTTGATGAACAAAATGGCCTACCAAAGATGCCATGTGAACAGTATATTACAGAGTAGATTGCACTTCAAAATATAACAGGTACGACATTACAAAGAGTGTATATCTACGTTATGATTTCTTGAAGCAGTAGTGTAAAAGTACTGCAAATCTTGGCACCAAGCTCAATCTAGCCCACCTAGTTAATGTGATATATAATATGCTCAGTTAGTGTAGGTGGTGGCAGAAGTGGTGCATTAATATGTCAGCTGTCAATCATGTCACATCTTGCAGGTGTGTACTGTCACTAAGTCCCCTAAGAGAAATAGGGTTTCTGTAGCACAGAGCATGCAGTGCGCTCACATGTACCCACACACTTATGAATAATATCTATGAATAATGTATGGACCTGGCGGGAAAGAACGGGAGAGAAATACAGAAGCAAACTAATTACAACCTGAAAACACAGCGATGTAGCTCCACTCCAACACCTCACACTGTCTATCATTCATCCATGTCTAACACACTCTTTTTTTGCCCTGCACCCGTCATGGCTTTGGAGATGTAGGTTTGGCTGAGGTGATATCGGGTGTTTCTGGAGTGATATAAGGTGTTGGAGAGATTCATACCCTGCTGACAGAATGAGAGCACCGTACACACACTCTCTAGACACTTAGTGCAGTACATGATCCTCTTTTAGCAACATTACTGCTGAGAGCCAGAGGTAACAAAGATGAAAAATCAAATAAGCATCCGATTAACTTATGTTCTTGATCAAATTCTCGGCTGAAAATATTGTACAGAATTGATCAGGGCCATGTCTGAAAAGGCTACATTAGCTCTTCCATCAATACATTTATTTTTACAACCTCAATATAGATCTTGTATTGAAGCCAGATTGCAGACTACATCTGGGTTCCCAACCTTTTTAACAGTACAGACTGGACCACAGCTCACAACAGTTTTGACTGTGGTGTGTGTGGGCTGTGTCATGGGAAGGTCAGAGTTAGAGGGGGCATTTGTGGCCTGGACTAATGTTATAAAATGGTTGGTTATGTGGAAAATAAAACACAATTGGGCATGATGTTCAAGGAAAATAGGAAAATAATAAACAACGGGGTGGTGTGAGGTGGTCCGACACAAAACAGATTTAATTGCAACCAATTATTTTCCAATAACAGCACTAGGGCTGTCACGAATACTCGATTATAAAAAATCCTCGCTAAAAAATTTCACGTGATCAAATATTCAGCAAACGATGCTCCAGAAGGTGGCGATAATGCACGTGCTTTACAACAAAACGCAAGGAAGACCATTCAGCTTTCATGGTGGAAAGCAACATGCAAGATGCTAGGTCCAAGCAAGAAAAGGTCCATTAAATTAGTAAAGAGAAATGTATGACATGTTTATAAATGACATATTTAAGGTTCACATGTGTTTATAAACACTCCTACATGGAGGGGTGTAGACGATATAAGATAACAGAGGGTGAATAAAACAAAACATTATTGTTTTTTATTAAATGATAATTTAAGCACTGTGTCTGTGTGAATTTATAATTATGTTCAGTTAACCAGTGTTCGCCGTGTTCACCGTAACGCTACGTGCTGTAGGCATGTCACAGCATGCAGAAGCTTTCACTCAGAAGTGTTACATCTGTTTGATAAAATGCATCTTAATACAGGAGTTTAAATCAGATACATCTATATTTATTTGCAGTCATTCTATGCTTACTGTGTAACAAGTACCAGCTACTTTAGAAGTTTTTTTTTAACTAGATACTTTCTTACTCTTACTCAAAGATATTTGGATGAGAACTTTTATTTTTTACTTATGTATTTTTTCTTATTAATGTTACTTTTTCTTGAGTAACTATTTTTGATGCTCTAACCACCTCTGACAAGTATAAGTTATTATTAGAAAATACAAACTTTTTTAAAAAAAAATATAACATTGCAATATTAAGGCCTATTTTATTTTCATTAATGGATGATTTTAACTGCTTTTGAAAGCGCTATACAAATAAAATTGAATTGAATTGAAAAAAAACAAAACAAAAAACAGTCACATACATATGTCTATTTGAGACCAGTTCTAAACTCAAGTGATGTAGCTGAGGTTGAGGAACTGTCAGAGCCACAGTTCACAGACCATGCTGGAATTTCTAAATCTGGGTTTTCCTCCAGTGCTTTCCAGCATTTTAGGACATAGCGGTAGGGTTCATTTAAAAAATGAAAAAATTAAAAACAACAACAACAACAACAACAAAAACCTCTTCTGGTTTAGGAAATGCCCAC